AGACTATAATAGATTTATGGCCACCCTGAGAAAACGCTTTGATGATCCACTCATAGAGCGAAAAGCAAGAACTAAATTTAAAACCCTTACCCAGGTGAACAGGCCAGTTGTTTAATATATACAAGAATTTCGTGAATTGTCTGTTTACATGCGGGATTGGTCCGAATAAGCTTTGATGGACGGATTTATGGATGGGTTAAATAAAGATTTATACCAGAACTGTGTAAACAGGGGGGTCCCCCGCAGATTGCAGCCTTGGTATGTGGAGATTGATTTAGCCCGAGACAATTACCGTGAAGATAGTGAAAAAGAGAAGGCTACCCCTCCCACCCACCCCCAAGGAGCTCCTAAAGGAGGGAAAAGTGGGTCTGCAAGCAAAGCCAGGCCGATCATCTGTTTCTGTTGCGGGAAGGAGGGGCACCAAGCAGCAAATTGCTGCACCAAGATGAGCCCAAAGCCCTCTGCTAGGGGGGAGAGAAAGACAGAGAATCTGATGACAAACATCTGGTAAGTTCCCAATCGGGCCCTATGACTATCCCAGTTGAACTTAAAGTGCCCTCTACTGGAGCGCAAGAAAAAATGCTGGCCCTTTTAGATTCGGGTTGCATCGTTAGCCCCAAAGTAGTGGAAAAATTGGGCCTGAAACTGAAAACTTTCAAAGTCCCAATTGCTTTTTGCCAGCTGGACAGCTCAATAGCTGGAGGGAGCCCTGCCCATTTTGTAACTGAGCCAATAGACAAGTGGATGGGAACTCACCAAGAGACAATAAGTTTTATTGTAGCTCCAGGGATGGACCGGCCTCTTATATTAGGCTTACCCCGGTTACGTAAATGGAACCCAAGCATCAATTGGAGGAAAGGATGGTTGCACATCCAATCTGCTACACCCCCTGAGGGAGAGGGGAGGCTCCCAAACATAATAACACTGACTCTAACCTAGCAGCCACAGGGCAAGAGAAAATTGAGGGGGAGGAAAAAATTCCAAAAGAATATTGGGACCTAAGAAATGTTTTCAGTGAAAAATCCTCTGATAAATTACCCACACACCATGCCACTGATTGCAGCATTGATATCCTCCCTGGGGTAAAACTTCCAAAACCTCAGATCTATTTGATGACACCCCCCTCCCCCGTGAAATGGATGAATTATGAAAGTTTATTGACAAAAATTTGCAAAGTGGGTTTATTGAACCTGCTAGCCCCCGAGTGGCTGTTCCAGTGTTGTTCCGAGAAAAGAAGGATGGCTCCTTTCATCTCTGTGTTAATTACAAGAACCTGAATGCTGTATNAGATCTTGCTTTGCTTAGCTGCTATCTACTCATGACCAGTAAAAGTACTCTTAATTCTGCAAAATGTAGTTGAGTGATTTCTTTCTTGGTTACTGAGGGTGGCCGCCTTGACAGTATGTATCAATGTGCATAGAGAGCAAAAGAAAGAAATGGATATATAAATGTGGATATAGATGTAGACCATGTATCTTTCATATACCATTTTTGAGTAAATATCTTCAATGAATTATTTTATCGCAAGGAAAGAATGGCTTCAAGGCACTGATATGTAAGAAACTTGTTTTGCAAATAATAAAACATGTATTAGATTGTATTCTATGTTATATTATTTAAATATATCAATATGAAGTGTTGATCACATTCTGCAGATATCTGACTACAATTTACCAGTACGTTGAGTGAATTGTAAAGGGGATTTTATAAATTGGAGATTATATTTGTGTTATTAACAGTGTATGTTTGAAGACCAAAACATTCCCAAGATCTCTGATATTCTACTGCCACTAGTTTTAAAATGTTTATTAGAATATGATTGTAAATGATCAAGTTAGGCATGAAATATTCTAATTTATTAGGTGAAAAGCAAGGCTTGGTTCCATTTTCTAGGTGATAAACTCTTAAACAAACTAAGCACTCCACATTTTTTTAACGTGGAACCTGACCCTCCCAGGAAGATTCCAAGCATTTGGGGCAGGTTACAAATATTTTAAAATGTTACCTCTGGCATGCTAGCTCAAAATTTTGCACAAAAGTGTTTCTTATAATTCACAGGGGTGTTGTATAAAACGAGACTTAACAATTGGGATGGAGGGGTGGAGTTAGTCTGCATATGGTGGTCCTCCTTCTCCCATAATCATTTCTTCCTATGTATATTTACTCCTCCTTGCTCAGTTATGGCAGTTTTGCTAAGTCAGTGTGGTTGTAGGGTTCCATATTGCTCCTTACAACAACTAACCTTTAGAGTAACTTGTTCAGCTGCTGGTAGAGGTGCTCACTTTCTCATGCCATGGGGTTCATCTACTCTACATAGTTCCTCCTCAATCCTGAAGGAAGAGTCTCTTGATTATTGATTATACCTTTTGGTAGTGCTACTCATAGACACTTACAACTACAGCAAAGATAATTATTAACTTACCTCCATGCTGTTGCTCAAGCCCACTTCTCAATATATTATATCCATATCCCAAAGGAATTTTCTGGTAATTTGAGGGAGAAGCAGGATGGGAAACAATGGGAGACATGGGGGGAGACTTCACTTCTTCCTTTAAGAGAAATGTTGTAATAACACATTGGATTATTAAATTTATTAAATTGAAGTCAATTAACAGAGTCAGCAAAATTTCAGCTTGACCTGACACAAATTTGTACAGTTTTTCCTCTGAATATTCATATTACATTTGAATATTTACTACCTGATTCTTGGCAATTGAAGCAAAGCAGTTCATTTTAATGGTTTATTTATTCAATTTATACAGCTGCCCATTTAAAATAAATGACTCTGGGCAACTAATAACGAATAAAAATAAGATACAAAGTCAGTAGGGTTGGGGCAAGTGTAATCTTCAGAGGAATAATGTTCAATAATGTTCAGTGGTTACCACAAAATAAAATGATATTGAATGGCAGAATAGTTAAAATAGAAAGGAATTTAATACTGAGCAATCTTTGCTAGGTAGCTAACACCTTTGACACCTCACAAAAAGTAAACATAAAGTTGTTGAAACATTTAAATTTCAACTTCAAGTTTCAACATTTACACTTTGAACAGTTGTTATCAAGTCTTTATTAGTTTCATACAAAACTAGAAAAAGTACTATGTAAACAAAAGTCTGCTTATATTAAAACTTTCTTCTCTTTCTTGTGGCTCCCCCCCCCCCCCATCTTGTGAAAGATCTTTCGGTCTACCATAGTAGATTTTGAGGGTGAGGAAAATAGCAATTATCTCCCAGTACTACTGAGAAATGCAGCTCTCTTAAAGTAAATGCTCTACTGAATTTGGCTCCAAGTGATTTTCCACATATTTAATAAAAATCTTTTTTGTACCTAAAAGAAAATTCTGTAGTTCATCTGCTTAAGATGAACAGCAAGTTGATCATACAAGAGATAAGCAATCTTAACTCTCTAACAATAGGCAACTGGTATTCCCTGTTGAAAGAATCTTCAATGACTAAATAATCAGCTGTAATTCCCAGTCTGTGTCATGAGACTTTATCAATAAAACGAACTAAAATACTAATCAAGATCTGTTTTTGTCAGTATGATATCATAAAATTAAATATTGTAGTTCATCCCACAATAAAAGATATATTTAAAAGAGACTTTACCTGTTTTTCTTCTTCACCTGATCTTCTGAAGCAATTTATCTCAAGGGTTGTATGTGGACTCTGAAACTTTGCTCCATGTGCTTCTGATAGATTGATGTACCTTATTTCAGTATCACTTTTCAGAGCACTAAATCGAGGTAAAGGTAATTCTTAAACAACAGAAATAAATACAAAAGAAAAATGATTATATAATACCATATTGTTTAGCTTATTTATTGACCAAATGAATTCCTTTGACAACTAATTATATTACGGTGCTTGGAAAATTAAAATTTAGTACAGGCCAAATTAGTATGAAAATACAAAGAGAAAGAACATTTTTGTATTTTGTATTTGTATAAAATCTTGAACTTTAACAGATTATTTCACTCTCTGATTATTTGTAAGAATCTATAAGCTTTCTTGACCACAAAAGCAGAATGGATCTGGCAAATAAAAAGTAAACTAATTTGGAAGGGGGGTTGATAAACAAGAAAGTAAATCAACTTGGGGAAGGGAATCTCCTTTTTTAGACATCTATTGTTATCTTACTCAAAATATTTAGATTATGTTTTTCCACCTGAAAACTTTCAAGTTGTTTTATGTAGTAGGTGCAGATAAAAAGTGAATGCCCACCAATATTAAAGCACTAAATTCACCAAGAAGTTCTAAAAATGCAGGTAATTATAGCTGTGGTAAAACTGGGCATAAAGCTACCATAATATTACTTCAATATAAATATTTTTAGCATTTCACATTAAGGCAAAGTGAAAAGCAAGTTTGGGTTAAGGAGTATGCAAATACATAACGTGATTTTCCATATCTGTACAAATATGCTTCTTAAAGTTCTATATTTCTGTTTCTATTGTATTGCATTATGCATAGAGAAATATTTCAACACAATATACATGTGTGTATACTGTAAAAATTGGGCATTGTATTACAAACCCAATCAACATCTATGTAATGCAAGAAATTCAAACATAAAAATAGACTCAGTAAATTACCTTAAAAAGAGGTATTTATTATATGCATGTCTGTATATACCATCCACTATATGAACCAGGTGTATTTACTTCAGTGACGTGCAGTGAGGTTTATGGCTGGTGAGGCAAAAAGAAAGAAAGAGGCTTTTGCCCGCCCCGCCGCTATGTCCAACATAGAGGCGGGTCACCCCTATGTCGGGCATTTTGGGGGGGGGGGGGCGAAAGGTCTTTTTTTTTTTTTTTT